TCTAAGTCTTCTTTTTAAATCCTGCCATAAATTTTCAATAGGATTGAGGTCTGGACTTTGAGCAGGCCAAGGGAGAAGTATAACACGATTTTCCTCTTTCCATTGATTTGCCACAGCTGCTTTATGACATGGTGCATTATCTTCTTGAAAAATAAACACACGACTATGACCATAACCATAACCACCATCACCACCATTATCATCACCACCATCAACACCATGATTCACCTCACTTAATTCATTAATATAAGGTAGTAAATTTTCTCCAAGATCTTCAAAAATTAACTTGGTTGAGTATTTTGTATGACATCTTGGCAATTATTTTACTAAATGATCTAAAATTTTGGATATAACTAGATTTAAACATAAGACGCATTTTTTATTTATACCGCAAAGGTCATTAGAACTTGACATTGTGGTCAATTTTTGAGTTAAAGATTTTTTTGAAAATTCCAAAAAATTCATTTTTATTTTTTAAAGTTTGTAAAACAACGAGTTGTTGTTTATATGTAGCGAAACTTCAGTATGCTATACTATTTGATATGGCGATGAATTTTTACTTAATAAGCAAATGCGGTTAGGTTAATAAAATTTTTATTTTTTTTCATGTTTCTTTGTTCAATTATTTCCAATGATCTGCAAGTGTCCTTATATTTATGACCAGTGAGTGTATATATAATCATGCAATAATTTAACCTATAGGACAGAAGACTGATTGGGCAAAAACCCATCCAGTCCTCTACCCAAATTATAAATTGGTTAGTATCCGAGAAACAGAGCATTTAGGAAAATGATTATACAAAACACTATTTTACAACTTCCCTCTTAACATCAGAGCCCAAATGCAATTTCAGGGCCACCAATCCTGCTCTGAATTGCGACCTCCTGTGCTTGAAACAAGTTGCAGATTCTCTTGATATTCCTCCAGAGTTGCAAGCTTGTTGGTCACAGTGCCATTTTTATCCAGAGGTAGACAACTTTTCGGCCAACATGGCAGTGGCCATCTCTGATCTGGGAAGATTAGTGAAAGCATCATTGATGATGATGCAGTCTTGATGCAGCTCCAGGGCAGAGCGACACCCCCCTGGAATTTTGTTGCATCATCATATCATCGGACGTCGCGAGTCAGATTAGCCTTGTGTACACAAGGAAGATGTGAGAATGACTGTAAAGTGTTCAAGGCAGTGTGCATGCTTCAACGTCTGCCAATTTCCAAATAATCAAACATCTCATATTTGAAATGTTTCTTTTTCAACAGTGTGCTGCCTTGACATCTTGTAATTATAATATTATTATTAATATTATTGATTATGAAAAGTAAAATATTATCAATGAAAATCTTGTAATTACCCAGCAAGATCTGCTCCACGTTTGATTCCAATTAAAATATTTATATAAAATAAAAATATCATTACAAGTAAAAAAAAGTACCTCTGGTTAGTTATCAACACATATTCTTTAGGAGAACCAAACCAAACCAAACAACAACACTCACGTTTTGTCATCTTGGACTCTGTCAAAAAATAAATTGTTTTTCCAAAAAAAAAAAAAAAAAAAAAATCAATTCGCGTCTGTCCTCCAAAAAAAAAAACCAATAGCATAAATAATTAGACATGTTTGTTTTTGGTTTTTGTCGATCAAATAATAAACTTTTTTCTTTTATTTTTAAAATGCATATTACGAAACAAAAAAAGCAAAAAAGACAACAACAAGAAAATCATGGAGAGGCATTAGCTGAGTAAGTGTTTATCAAAAGAATGGTGGTGGTTATCGCCTGCCACTTGCCATCACTCTAGTTTATTATAAGAATGGTGGTGGTGATTGCAACTAGTCGTCACTCTAATTAACTATATATTCTTTCTTTTATTATGTATTTTTATTCAGTCGGATACCACTAAAAGATGTTGAAAACATTGATACTCGTGACTCTGCCAGATCTATATCTCCACCTCCACATCCCCCAAAATCTCAACAACAACAACAAAATTTGCCACCTCCTACTACTGCTTCCAATACTGCTTCTTTAATGGGATCTTCATCTCCTCATATACGTGAACCAAACAGATCAAACTCACTGAGCCCTTCACCAACTCAACCATCACAACAAAGCTCTTCTAATAAAAATAAATCTGGTGTGTTTATTATTATATGATTTTAGTATTATTTATTTATTAGTGTTATTTATATATATTAATTGATTTCAGATAAAATGAGATACGAACTCAAGATAAATGGAATCAACATCAAAACATTATTAGAAACATATCGGGATGTCTCATTAAAAATTGGAAAAGAGAAACAACTGCTTGTTGAATCAAATACTTACGAAATATTATCATTATCATACATCCTATTGCTTATTCCCAATTCTTATTCCAAAACAATAATAAGATCATTTGGCATTACGTTATTAGAAGAACTGCATCTACAACAAACATCAATGCTTCCAAAAATAGTATTGGCTGATAAACCTGTTTATATTTTTAGGAAAGCAATCGAAATGGGTAAAAATGATTCCAGAGATGTAGCCGTCAATTGGCTATGCGAGCAACTTTTGAAAGAAAAAATTATAAAAGACAATCTTGGTTTTATTATATTGGATCTTCTAAGAACATTGCCTACTTCAAAAATCCCAGTGAAATCACATTAATTACAAATAATCTGGACAGGATAATGAAAGGACTTTTTCATGATCCAGACAAGACC